AAATAATAATAATAGAAAATTAACAAAAAAAATGTTTTAAAAAAATCAAAAGGAACGTCCAAAAGAAGAAAAAAAATCAAAATTAATGGGATGAGACTTTTTAGTAAAATAAGTTAGAAAGTTGGGAATAATTAGGATAAAGTAAACAAATTTGAAATCTTTAGGACTCCTCTTTTCTTTTCTTTTTCTATACATTTTCATAATATTTTCTATATTATTATTATTTTTAAACTAGATAATTTACAAATAACTTAAATTCCCAACTTCTATTTATCAATTCTTTTTTTATTATTAAACTATAATTGATCTTATTAGTTTTATTAATTTACAATTTATTATTATTATTTTATTTTATTTTAAATATAACCTTTTTTTAAAAAAATTGGTGTTTGACTCTTTATATTTTGGTAAAAAATTAGGTGTTCACAATCAACATTATAAATAAAATTCTGAAATTTATTTTGATTTGCTACAAAAAAAAAATAGTTTGAATAAATAAACTATAAGCATAGAATAGTGGATTCTAAGCACGTAAAGGAAGTGAGAGAAATATTAATTATGATAAAATTCTTTAGTTATATAAACAAATATGAGCCATTAAAATTATTTGTATGACACGTATCAAAAAAGATAATGACGAAAATGGAGAGATTATGTCCGGGAGAAGAGTCTCTTCCCTACTCTACTACTTTGGTTTCCAATTTTATATTTTTATGTCAACTTGGATTTAATAACTTGATTATCTTTTCTAAGTAAAATGTGCATATTAATAATTTACTTTGCTTTAGACTCTTAACAAATTAGTTAGAATTGAGTATATCAATTCTCAAAAATTGGAATTGAACCATGAGTTGTTGGCTACTCTCTCTCAAGTCTCAACCCATTTTATTTTTTTATTCTTAAAAAAAAATTTAGTTGAATTTTTATGAAATTTTAAAAATAAGACATATTGTTTCAACTAAGGTAATTAAACATATAAGAAATAAGTTAATTAATATTAACATAATGAATGATGCTTAAAAGTCAAAATTAGGTCCAATTTCACTCGTGGAATGATTTCATAATGGCCAATGTGTGGAAATGACTTTTCCTCCTAACGTTCATAAGTATTGGTCCGATTTAATTCTATGGGGTGAATTGCTCCATCGATAATTATTATTTTTCTGATTTTTAATATATTTTGACTCGATTCAATCACACATTAAACTTGACATACATATCTTAATTATTTTTAACCTATATAATTTTGTATTTAAAGATTTGAATTAACTATTACATCTTTAAATACTTGTCAAGTAGTATATTAAAAGTATATATTTTTTCTTTTTACATGTCTATTAATAAGAATTAATCATATTTAAAAAATTTATCATTGAAAATTAGTAACCGTTCTTAATTAATTTAAAATATCATAATCAAATTTAACTGAATAAAAAAAAATGGACGGAATAGAACAAACGCTATTTTTTTTGAATGCTCATATTTTTTGCAACTTAAGGTGTGAATGTGA